AAAAATACACCTGTGTGTTTGTGTTTGTGTGCATATGTGTGTGTGTATATAAAGAGAGGCAGACAGGGAGATAGAGAGATATAGAAAGAAAAAGAAAGAATATGAACATTTTGGAGCCGTATACTGATTGGTGTGCATAATCAAAAAAGTTTGGACACTTTTCCCTACAAAGCAGCAAAAGTAGCCTTTTGAAAGTATAGGAAACATAATTTCTTGTCACTGCTTAATACCCTTTGTCAACTTTCCATTGCAATATCCGAACTCCTAACCATGTCAGGTGCCCACTCCTCAATCACGCTTGGTGTCACTGTCTCCCCTCACCCATATACTCCAGCCATTCTGGGCTATTCCTTCCTCCACTGTGCCTATCTTTTTCCAACTCATGACCTTTGCACCTGCTATTCCACCTGCCTGGAATACCCCCCCCCACACACACACACACACACACACACACTTCTCATGGCTGACTCCTCTTCTTGAGACCTTCACTTTAAATATACATCTTTAGAGAGACTTTCCCTGACCCCCTACCTGAAAAAGAAATTTCTTTCACATTTTCTGTGTCAATCTCTCATCAGTTCCTTCTTAGTATCTATTATAGCCTTCAATTATTTTACATGAACCTGTTTTATGTTAATAACTTTCCAAAAATCTACATGTGGATAAAGACCATATCTTCCTTATTAATCTCCTCTCCCCCCAACATCTCACTCAGTGCCTGGCTCATTAAGTGCTTAATAAATAGTGGCCGACTGGCCAAATGACACCTGACTAGCAAACCTACCTGCACAACTGGTAGCTAATACTTTGTAAAATCAAATGTGTACTCTGTCCCACAGACTATACTAAAGAGTTTGAATGTGCTAGCTCATGTGGTTTTGTTTTGAGTTTTTTTTTTTAACATAGTTTGTCTCAGCTAAGTACCACTAACATTTTCCCCACTTTACAGATGATGTTAAGCAATTTTTATCCAGATCACACAGCAATTTAGTACAAGAGGCAAGTCTTCTACATAAGCATCCTTATTCCTAGTATGTACTTGACTTTATGCAATACTGTTTCTACTCCACATCCAGCTAATAACAGATAACACTTATTGATGATTTGCTATGTGCTAGGCAATCTATTAATAATTAGCACTTTGAATCATTTTTACTAACATTGAGCAAGCAATTATGGAAACAAGTTAGCAATATTTTTTTAGTTTTTATTTGGTGTGGGGAGAGTAAGGTTAAGAGGGGCATATTCACTCCTCACATAATCTTACTGCACTAGCTATAGGTGAACTGTCATGTTGATTTTTC